AGTGAAAATTGAGTGCATATCTTATAAGGAATTGAGTGATTTCTCTAAGGCATGTTACTACATCAAAAACATTATTTTAATCGATTAATTGTGAACAAGTAAGTAGTGACTATGATTAAGTACGTGCTTAAGTGTGAAGATGACTCAAATCTGTGGGGATAATGATTTTTAACATGTCATGTGCATTGGAAATCCCTGAGGCAAATGTTGGAAGGTTTAGGTTGTGTTTTATTTACTTTGTTTCGTTTTATCTCTTTGTTTTGCTCGAGGACTAGCAAAAGCTAAGTGTGGGGGAATTTGATAGGAGCATATTTATGCGACTTAGTTGGCTTGTTCTTGTGCATTTATGTCGTGTTTCCTTAGTTATTTCAATGTTTAAAGTCATTTTCGTGTGTTTTCAGATTTTATGGACAAAGTAGGCAAGAAGTTGCATTTTGGAGCATTTTGGAGCAAAATGGAGCTTGGAATGCATGTCACATATTTGGGCCAAAGTGGATGGACGAATTTGAGAACTAAAGAGGCCAAGAATGTGAAGAATTATGGTCCAAAAGATGAAGAAACTCAGCCCAAAAATTTGTCACCCCAACTTGCCTTCATTGCCATGCAAAAACAACATAGAATTCCCTTTGGATTCCCATGCCATGCTTGATCACTCTTGTCCCCTACATAATTTCTGATTTCATGCTTCAATTCATTTAATTATTACACTTAATTGCTTGATACCTCTTGTTCCCTTCACCCACAAAATTTTATACAACTTTCACAACCATAACATGCACCAATTGATGCTCCATCATTCACATTTGGAATCCCATGCCTTGTGTACCACATGTTGCTGCACCTTTGACCCATTTATTGACACATTTTCACCTCCCTTTCCATCTCTATGCAATGTACACAATCATTCATGCCCCCTAGCTACAAGACCACTCCATTTTACCCTTCACACTTTGCATCATCACTTCATTTTCACCCTTGGACCATTGCACACCACATACACTCTTTGCCGTGCATTCTCCCTAGCCTAACATGATTCTCTAAGGTTTTTGGGGCCTATATATACATGTTTACACCCCTTGGCAAAGGGTTCACACTCTCATATTCATCATTCATCACAGAAAATTCGTCCATACAACCTCTAGGTAGCAAAAACACCCCAAAAACACCATTCTAGTGCCTAGAAAACATAACAGCCACTCCACCTTCTTCCACCCTCTTTGCCTAGTTCTCCACCACCCTCCAACCCTCAAACACTCCTCCACACTTTACCCTAAACCTTTCCATACCATTCCCCATCCATTCTACATCATAAAACTACCCAAAAATCCGTCCACAAAGCAATCTGCCGCAAGCAAGCAAAGGAGAATTCTTGGATGCACTTGCTACCCAAGTTAGAGCATTTTAGGTGTTTTCTTTCCTTTGATTTTAATGTCTAATTTTATGTATCTTTGCTTTGTGAGTATGAGGAACTAAACCCCTCTTAGTTAGAGGGTGATTCGAAACCATGTTCATACTTGCAATATGATTTGATTACATCCAGTTGTGATTCATAAGTTGTGAATTCAATTTACTTATCCGATCGTATAAAAAATGATTTGTGTATGTTGGTTGAGAGTGCACGCTTAATTTTCATGCATGAATTTAACGCTAGAATATAAGGGAGTTTCACCTAATCGTTATGAACTTATATTCACAAGTAGTGAAGGTTGCTAGTCACAATCACGTTAAGTAAATTCTTGGCATAAGTTTCATGCAAATCATAGTAACGAGTGCCTCGTCAATGCTTATGTTTTTCATAGAACTTAATGATTCTTGCTTGTATCTCTATTATGCAATTCATGTAGGGAACTTGTAGGGAATGTTTTGGGTTGTCGTATGCAATCATCCAATCCAATAACTTGTGAAAAAACTGAGGGTTAATTAGTGCAATTCACGGTTAATTTGGGGCGTTGAGTATTCATAGCTTATCGAAAACAACTGGAAATCGTTTTGTATGCAAGTGTGACATGTGTGGAGAAGAACCTCCTAGCTAGCCTTCCATCCATAAGTTTCATTCAAATTCATTTTACAATCTGTTTTGATTCACTTAAATTTGTCTAAGAATTTGTTTACTTTGTTCTTGTCTTAATTTAATTATTTTCGTCTAAAATCAACCCCATCTTATTTCTTTGAGTCATATTAATTAGAACTTGTCTTAGATTATGTTTTTAAGTGTTTTAGTTCATTAGAAAACCAAAATTCGTCCAAGTTTGTGTTAGAGTCCCAAAACTGCCCAGATTGTGTGTTTAAGGTAGTTTTGAGTGTTTAGGGGCTGTTTTGAGTCTCTTGGTTTGTTTTAGTGTTTTAAAGTATAGTTTTGCATTCTTTGAGTCTAGTTAGTATTTTAAACTTTGTTTTTACGTTTTCAAGTCAGTTTCCAAGTGATTTAGCAATCCCTCCTAATCCCCGGCCTAGAACGATCCCTATTTACATACTTTACTACAATTGATAAAAAGAGGGTTTAATTTGTGTGCTTATATATTTCGCATCACCTAACGCCATTAGAAAAATCTTTTTCTTTTATTGAGTAAGAAGCACAATGGTAGATTGCATAGGGTAAAAAGTCTTTTTATTTTTGTTAGATTAGATGTTAGATTAAGGAGCCGACGAGGTTCGAACCCAAGTCGTGGTGCAAGGGCAACACTCCTCTCCACCATTGTTTTTAGCATAAAAATATTACCTATTACTTATCATACACTAAGTATACATTAAATATTAACTTGTATTAAAATTGAGTGGGCTATAGGTACTACCAATAGCTAGACCTGACATTCGTGTCGTGTTTTTCGTGTTCATGTCATTTTCGTGTCATACCCGATATTTTAACGGGTCGTGTCGTGTAACACCCGTTAAAATAAACGGGTAAAATGACACGACCCGAAATCGACCCGATAATATTAACAGGTAATATGACCCAACCCATTACCCGTTAAGGAAAATATATTTTAAACCAATAAATAATCAAATGAAAAACATAATACTAAATAAGTATATACATACCGTATTGTCACATCCAAAACGTAAAAACGCAATTTTCTTTTAAGTATATTTTCACTTACCTAAAGTCTTTAATAGTTTTTTTAATTAATGTAGAAGTGTAAAAAAATATAAAAAATATATATAAACGCTTGTAATGATAAGCTTTACAACTTTCATGAAGAGCTTAGTTTCGAAATTCGCCACTATAATCATATAAATCATAGATCAAAATTTAACTGTTGATTGTTGTTTACATTTACGCTTCATTATTCTCATCAAATTTTGTTTTTTTTGAAAGCTTGATCTATTAGAGGATGCAAGAAGATGAACGGTTTGGATCGTTGATATTATATTCAGAGTTTGACGATTAGTGAAAATATTGTTTGATGTTTATAAAATTTCTGCAAACTATATGGCATCGACTCATATTTCAGTTAATCGTAAATATAGAAATGTGATATCAAAGATCTGAACCATTCATCTTCTTACATCCACCAGATGATCATGTTTTCAAAAAAGAAAATTTTTAAAATGAAATTCAGTAAGAATAATAAAGCGTAAATAGTAATCGACGGTTAAATATAAATTTAAGGTTTATGAACTATAGTGTTTGGATTTCGAAGCTTACCGCTTCATCAAAGTTGTAAAGTTTGTCACTATGAGTGATTGTATATTTTTTTTACATTTTTTACACTTCTACAATAATTATTATTAATTTTATTAATTTTTCCCTCGAATAAAAAACATTATTCATGAAGGTTTGGAGGATTTTAAAAATCTAAAAGATAATGTAAGTGTAACCATTATCTACTCGTGGAGGAATAATGATGAATCACGAGTGTTTATATATTCTTTCACATTTTTCATACTTGTATGTATGTCTTTCTAGTTCTTGCCTATACAAATACTATATTAGTTTATTTTAATTTTGGACAACAATATGTTAAGTAAAATTTATCCTAGTAATGATAATAAGGTACTCTCATAATAAAATTAAATAATGACTAAAACTTTTTTTTTAAACTTATATAGAATAACAATACAAAACTATATATTTAATATAGAATATATTGTATATATTAATATGGCTATTGTATTTTATAATAAATATTTTAGCAATTAAACTTTAAAATTATTAAAATAAATTTTTTCTTAACGGGTCGAAACGGGTTACCCACGTGTATACCCATTAAGAACCCGTTATTACAGGTCATGTGATAATGACCTGATAAGTTATCGTGTTGACCCGAAACCCGTTATTTTCGTATCGTTTTCGTGTCGTGTCACCGTGTTGTGTCAGAAACTGCCGGATCTACCAATAGCAGAGATTCATGTTCTCCTCAATAGATTGATTGAAATGCCACAAATCAATTCTTATTTCAGTGTCTAAAAATCAGGTATGGACAATGGACACCAACCATAAAAGCAAGAAAAAGACCATTTTCACTCTTTTTACCTTTTGAGAAACCAAACTAAACAAACGCAAGGAATACGTAAAAGTCAACCAAATCCCTCTCTCCAAAATTTCAAAATAAATAGACAACCTACCCCACACACCCAAAAATACATACGTTATTTTACATTATTCAGATGGATCAAGTCTAAACAACGCAGTACATTCACTATATCATCATCTCGAATTCGTTATTTACTAGGATCACATTTAAAATCTATCACTTATTAATGAACAAGAAGAATACATTTTGATAGTCGAAAAACCCGGAGGAGAATTCTTTTCCTTCCGACAACATTTTATATTAATTTTTTTTATAAAAACAATAAGACAAAAACTAATGTGAAAGGAAAGAAAATGGGAATAGAATGAGAGAAAACCCTACTCCGAAAAACAACAATGTTGTGTTATCAATAGGAGAGTAGAGCCCATCACGTACACCTATAAACTCTTGTCTAACTTTTGTCTCGATTGGCACGTGTGGCAATTGTTTCTCTTCTGGTCAAGATTTATATTACCAAACTTTGACACACCCATTAAAACATGCAAAACTTTTTAGGCGAGTGCGCTGCTTTCATCTTTTTGCTGCTTTGCTGCAAGATCCATGATTTGTCTCAATTGGAGACTCCGATTATCTCCCTCCCCAGAAACCATTAGGGTTTAACCTGTAAGTTTATCTCTCTTAAAACCCATAATTTACATATTATTAAATATTGATTCAGTCCTCTCTGAATTTGTTAATTTCAGATTTCAATTGGATTGGTCATTGCTCATAGAACCCTGATTCTGTTTTTGTTGATTTTATTGGTTGTGATTCATTTTGTTTCAGATGGTAAATGGTAGTAAGTTTCAGAATTTTGAAGTTTTTATGTGACTGAATGCTGTGGTACTTCTATTCTACTGACTTTTGTCTGCTGAAGAAAATTTGGGGAAGTGGGTTTTTTATTACATATAGTGAGGTTTATTTGGAGTTTTTTAGGGCGTGTGATTTAGATGGCGAGTTCTCCGTTTGAGGTGGAGGATACAGATGAGGATTTCTTTGACAGATTGGTTAATGATGACATTGACTTTATTGAATTTGTGCATAAACCGGTACAGAAGAAAGAGTTTGTCGATGTCAAAGCTTTTTCGAAATTGAGTATTTCGGAAGTAGATCCGGTGGGAGTAGACACCAGCGGCAATGCTAGTCTTGGGGTTAATGGTGAATTGGGTCATGAAGATGGGGTTGTAGTGGAACAGTCTGATCCCGTACGGGACCCTGTAGTTGTTAAAGAGAGTGAGTCACTGATAGTGGATTCTAGAAATAAGGCTAGTGCATCAGATGATATAGTTGATAATAGAAATGGGGCTAGTGCTCCAGATGATATAGACGATAATAGAAATGAGCCAACTGAGTTAGAGGATAAAGCAGGTAATGGAAATGAGGCTAAGTCATTGGAGGATAAAGCAGGTAATGAAAATGAGGCTAATGAATTGGAGGATAAAGGGGAGGAAGGTTCAGTAAATGGGATGGTGAATACGAGTTTGGCATCAGTGGGATCTGGTGTGAAAGTAGCTCAGTGGAGCTCGTTTTCTGGTGAATTTGGAGATGTCTCAGTGGACCCATTTGCAATTTTGGGCAATACAGACAAATTGTGGGCTGAGTCTAATGTCACTGATATTGCTTCGGAGAACTCAGTTCCTGATTTAGGTGTTTCTAGTTATGGCCAGCACCAAGAAGGTCAGCACTATGGGGTTGTTGAGGGACAAATTTTAGATGGGCAGGACTTGAATACGAGTTTGGCATCAGTTGGATCACGTTTGAAAGAAGTTCAATGGACTTCGTTTAACTCAGATTGGAATCCTTCTGGTGACTTTGGAGATTTCTCCGCAGACCCATTTGCAAATTTGGGTAATACAGACGAATCCTGGGCCATGTCTAATGTCACTGATGGTGCCTTGGAGAACTCAGTTGCTGATGTAGGCATTTCTAGTTATGGGCAGCAACAAGAAGGTCAGCACTATGGGGCTGTTGAGGAACAAAATACAGATGGCCAGGAGTTGAATAGTAGTCAGAATTGGGATAACCTTTATCCGGGATGGAGGTACGATCCAAATACTGGGCAATGGTATCAGTTGGAGGGCTATGATGTGAATGCAAATGCAAGTACAGATTTGAACACTAATGAAAATGCTCAGGAGAGTGTTAATGTGCATTCTCAAACTGCAGATAATGTGGTTTTTTCAGACCAGAAAGCAGATGCTTATTATTTACAGCAACCAGCACAATCTGTTCCTCAAAGTGTGGCCCAGGGATCTGAAACTAGTGCTGTTACTGACTGGAATCAGCATTCTAATGGGAGCACGGACTACCCTGCCCATATGGTTTTTGATCCCCAATACCCTGGGTGGTACTATGACACAATTACCCAAGAATGGAAGCAGTTGGAGTCTTCCACTCCAGCTTTTGACCAGTCAACAACTGTGGAGTATAATCAGCAATTTCACAATTCAAATGTGGAGAATCATGGTTCAGATGTTGCAAATTGGGATGGATCTATGAGCACCTACAATCAGCAAAATGCGAGTATGTGGCATAATCAAACAGTTTCTGCAAGTGACACTATTAGTGTTACTGAGACACAGCAGTATACGACCCAGTATTTTTCAACCGGGCATCTAACCAGTTCTGTGAATCAACAACCAGGGTTCAATCCTTCTGGATCAGTTGCTCTTAGTCAACAGGCAAGTCATGGCTACAACTTTAGTAGCGGGGTTGGAGGGTTTGAAGGCTTTAATCCTTCTGGAAACTTATCTCATCATCAGCATCAGGCTAAGGAGCCAAACCAAGTGACATACTTCTCACCTGCTAACTTTGATAGTCAGAAGCCAGTACAATTTTTACAGCAACCACTCCACAGTGGAACTCAGTTTTCTCATGAGGCCAGAGCAGGGAGGTCATCTGCAGGACGTCCTCCACATGCTCTAGTTACCTTTGGATTTGGTGGGAAACTTATAGTCATGAAAGATTACAGCAATATGTATGGAAGCCAGGTCAAGCCTTACCTTCTGATTTCAATTTCCTGAGGCACATACCTACTGATGTGTGTGTGTGTGTGTGTGTGTGTGTGTATTCATGTTTCTACTCATATGTCTGGTGTTGGCATAGGCCTTAATTTCGTTTTCTTTTCTGTTTGTAATTTAAAGGACTCTGTAGGAGGTTCGATTAATGTTCTCAATCTGATGGACGTTGTCATGGACAAAACTGATGTTGCAAGCTTTGGAAATGATGGTCGTGCTTATTTCCATGCTTTGTGCCAGCAATCTTACCCTGGCCCTTTGGTTGGGGGGAGTGTTGGAAGTAGGGAAGTTAACAAATGGATTGATGAAAAGATTGCAAACTGTGAAACTCCTTATATGGACATCAGAAAAGGGGACCATTCGAGGTTGCTTTTCTCTTTACTAAAAATAGCATGCCAGTATTATGGAAAACTTCGATCTCCCTTTGGCACTGATGTAGCATTGAAGGTACTTTAATTTGTGGATCTTAAATGACTATTTATGACCTGTTTGGATGTTCTATCACATTTTGATTGGATGTTCTATCACATTTTGATAGGATGTTCCATCACATTTTGATTGGATGTTTGATCACATTTTGATTGCTTGATTATCATTCTCAATTTGATTCATAAATATTTGAACTTTGGCATTTCATGAATTTCTATATTTTATTCTACCATATTAATTATGCTGGTTGTACATCTTCCTTGATGGGGCATGCTCAGTAGATGGATTCTCCATTAAAAGTGTTGTATTTAGTGATAGTTGTCACTTAAGTTTCATGCGACAACAAAATTGCACTTACTGTGCTAGTTATAGTTAAATAATCATAGTGGCAATATAATTAGTGCATAGATTTAAAATTTAAAATCCCAGAAATCTGGTGTTGTCATCATTATAACTTTAGAAGTATAGGGATGGTGCTTGTATATTGGGTTTTTACCTTGCCAAATTACCCTCTCAATCCTAACATTATGAACTTTTCTTTATTTGTTCAAGAGCGTTCAACAGTTCTCATGTGATATGATTATTAACCACTTATGTTAAAAACCTAAAATATAATTAGGAATCTGATAGTCCGGAGTCAGCCGTTGCCAAGCTTTTTGCCTCTGCTAAGAGAAGCAACGAGTACAGTGCTCTTATGTCACAGAACTTGCCTTCTGAAGCACAGAGTCAAGTATGTCATAGTCTAACTCTCTCTCTCTCTCTCTCTCTCTCTCTCTCTCCCTCTCTCACTGACTCATAAATTTCCACTGCCATCCATAATGAATATATGTTTTTCTTTAGGCTACTGCTCTTGAGGTACAAAAGCTTCTTGTCTCTGGTAGGAAGAAAGAGGCTTTACAATGTGCACAGAATGGTCAGTTGTGGGGTCCAGCACTCGTGATTGCATCACAGCTTGGTGAACAGGTTCTTCCAATTATTTCTCTCAGTATTATTCATCAACTTGGTTAATCCTTTATATATATATATATATATATATATATATATAACATAGTAAGAAAGCTCTTTGATCTATTATCATAATTTGTTTTTGATGAATGTTTTCTGGTCTGTTTTGATATTGCATGCAGTTTTATGGTGATACTGTAAAGCTTATGGCACTAAACCAGTTAGCAGCAGGATCACCATTGCGGACTTTGTGCTTGTTAATTGCCAGGCAGCCTGCAGATGTGTTTTCAAGTGCCACTACAGATAGCAGTATACCTAATTCTATGAATGTATCACAACAGCAGACACAGGTGATTTATGGTTATTTGGTTCAGATGAAAAAAGGGTGCGACCTGGGTTTTTTGTTGGAAAGTTTGACGTTTGTGTTTTCTATCTTCATTTGATTTTATTCTTTGTATTTCAACTGGATAGAATACTGAAGTGAAAACATTGCTTATGTGTGTAATGGTCATGATCCTATGTTTTTGAAGTTCCTTGGATTCTTTTGCCTTAATTTTGATTATTTTCTTAACACAGGTTGGGGCCAATTCCATGTTAGATGAATGGGAAGAGAATTTAGCCATCTTAACTGCGAACCGAACAAAAGATGATGAGCTTGTTATCATCCATCTTGGAGATTGCCTATGGAAGGAAAGGGGACATGTATATGTTGTGTGTTTCTTGGATTCAGTTCCATCTTATATTTATATGTTAGAAACTTATTATCTCATCTGGTTTTATCCTGACAAAAAGCATTTGTGCAGAACACTCCTGCACACATATGTTATCTGGTTGCAGAAGCCAATTTTGAGGCATATTCAGACAGTGCAAGACTCTGTCTTATTGGTGCAGATCACTTGAAATATCCACGAACATACGCCAGTCCTGAGGCTATCCAGGTGATTGACAGTATATGTTGTTTTCTATTATATGATTTTGTATTGAAGTTTGAATTAAATTAGGAGCTTTTAAAATTTAATGATGTAGAAACCAATTGTCATTATATGCACGAGTTTATTTTCTACTGATTTCTGGATCCCCTAAAATTTTTGCCTTTTATGGTGTATGGAGCATGTACCGTCACTGTGGAAAGAAGAAAATGTTTTAACTGTATTACGTCATTGTTGTTATTATTATTGTTTATGTTGTTGCTGCTGTTATTATTATTATTATCATCATTAATTTTTGTTTTACTACTTTAGCCAATTTTTAACTAATCCAAACTTTGTGTTGACAGAGGACAGAATTATACGAACACTCAAGGGTTCTCGGAAATTCTCAGTTTCTCCTACTACCTTTTCAGCCCTATAAGCTTATTTATGCCCACATGCTGGCAGAAGTTGGCAAAGTTGCAGATGCCTTGAAGTAAGTGTAACTGTTGTTCATTGAGACCCTTTTTATTCTTAGAGTGAAGTTTGAAAATGGTCGCTTTTTCAAATTTTTTTATTTGCCTCTAGCTTATTTTAGACAATATGTTTGGTCAGATACTGTCAAGCAATTTTAAAGTCTTTGAAATATGGTCGAGCACCTGAAGTGGACACATGGAGACAGTTAGTGTCATCTCTGGAGGAGCGGATAAGAGCCCATCAGCAGGTTTTTCTTTAAGATGCAGTTCTTTTTCTCTCTTTTTCTTTTTTTTTTCTCTCTGTGTCTCTCTGTGTTTTCTTACACAAAACATTTTGTACAGGGTGGTTACAGTACGAATTCAGCTCCAACCAAACTGATGGGTAAATTGCTTACATTATTTGATAATACCGCTCATCGTGTTGTTGGAGGCCCGCCCCCACCTGCACCTTCAATATCACAAGTCCTTGCCCAACGTAATGAGCATGCTCAGCAACCAGGAGGCCCAAGTGTATCCAGTAATCAATCAACTATGGCTATGCCTTCGTTTATGCCAGGCCCAAGTTTACCCAATAGTCAGTCAACAATGGCTGTGTCTTCGTTTATGCCAGGCCCAAGTGTGCCCTATAGTCAATCAACAATGGCCGTGTCTTCGTTTATACCAGGGCCAAGCGTATCCAATAGTCAGTCAACAATGACTATGTCTCCGTTGATGCCTTCAGCATCGATGGAGCCAATAAGCGAATGGACTGCTGAGGGCAATCAACTGAATATACCCAATAGAAGCATATCGGAACCAAACTTTGGGGGGTGCCCAAATAAGGTATGTATTTTTTCCACCGGTAATCTTTTTTTATTAGACCTTGTTTCTAATTATAATATAGCATTTGAATTTGTCAAGAATTCACAATCAGAAAGGTGGTTTTCGATGTGCAACCAAACTTAATGAACAGGGGCCAGGGCAGAGCCCTTCTGGTTCATTTAAATAAAAAGAAAATTAATCCACTGAACTCAGACACATTGTGCAATGTGCATTACAGTAAGGACAAGTGATAAAGGATGGGAATCGCTGTTATATGGATGATATCCTATACCGAAGGCAGTTTAGCCGAATCAATCATCTGATGACATGGGGGTAAAGGCTGTCAAGAGTCTCGGTTCTATTTTCCTTTTTTTTTTCTTTTTTTTTCTTTTTTTTTTTTTTTTAATCTGAGTTGAAGCTTAGGTTTTCTTCCCCCAATTTAATTTATAAAAGCACATTACTATTTCATTCGTGAAGATAAAAAAAAATAGGGTGAAGTGCCGATTTACCTCAGTGAAAATTAGGTCCCCTGAATAATTTTTTGATAAAATAAGTCCCTACATTAAAAATTGGTAATTTCATCATTACTATTATATTCAAAGCTATTTTATCTAATTTTTCGTCAACTTAAGTCACTTGACGCATTTTAGAGTGAAATACCGTTCTTTTCTTGCCTATAAGTCCTTAACATTTCATATAGGCTGCAACTCTAATCTCTAATTTACCTTCCAAAGTTAGCTCCATACATTTTTTTTTTAATATGTAAAATTACCAACCTACCCTCCAATGTGTATCACATGCAAGTAACATGACTTAAATCGATGGAAAATTGAATATAGTGGCTTCAAATATAATATTAGGAAAGTAATTGGCAGATTTTTGTAATTCAAGGGCTGATTTTTCTGAAAAAAATAGTTCAGGGACCTAATTTTCACTCGGATGATAATCCAGGGTCTAAATTTACTGTTCACCCATAAGAATATAATAGGTGATACGAAAAACAAAGGACAGTAAAGGTGACTATTATTGTATTCCGTCTTTTGAAAATATTGTTCATTGTAAAATTCACATCTGATACAAGGTGATATTGTTTGTTTGGGTGGGTGAACTACATTATAGTTTGCAGATAGTGCAAATTGTTCATATTCTTTACAGTTTATGTCCCTAGCAAGTTCCATTTTTCCACATTTGGTAACATTCACCTTAATACTACCAAAGAATTGATTTCGGTAGTTGACCTGTATTGTACTGGTGGAAATAAAATTTACAGCCGTCATTTTGTGTTCAATCAGGTTGATTCGTCCAAGAAAGTGGAATCTTCTAAACCACGAGAAAATGAATCAACATCTAGCGGGTCATCTCGTTTTGGTTTTGGCATATTTCAAAAGACTCTGGGATTTGTGAAAAGATCCCGGCAGGTACTTAAACGTTCCTTTTACTAAGTTTGAATGACGGGATTCTCTTAGAGATATTTTCTCAGTTTAGCCTCACAAGTTGTCCTGTTTTTGTTGTTTTGAAGGCTAAATTGGGTGAAAAGAATAAATTTTACTATGATGAGAAACTTAAGCGATGGGTTGAAGAAGGTGTTGAACCTCCTGCCGGAGAAGCAGCCTTACCACCTCCACCACCAACTGCAGCCTTCCCGAATAGAATGCAAGATTACAATATAAATGATGCACTGGAAACCAAAAGTTTCCCTGCAGTTAATGGGCCACAAATCCCAAGCCTGGTGTCCCCTGAACCGAGTTCTGGAATACCACCCATTCCACCGAGTTCCAACCAGTTCTCCGCACATGGACGTACGGGTGTTCGCTCAAGGTAGACTACTGGATTCTCTCTGTCTTTCCCCGTTGCTTTTCATTGTATTTATTTTCAAGAAGTGCAGTCAGGGTCGCTTAATGTAAGTTGTGTTCAAATTTTCCTTAGGTATGTTGATACATTCAACAAAGGCGGCAGGGTGCCAACAAACTTATTTCGGTCACCATCTCTTCCATCTGCTAAACCTGGGGGTGGTCCCAAACCCAACATTTTTTTCCCGGCTCCAGTAACTTCCTATGAGGAGACGGTTCAAACACCTGGAGAAAGCATACAAGAGCCATTGGTGACCAACATCAATCCCCCAAAATCATTTGAGGGTGAATTCTCTACTCCACAAACATCAACTTCGTCTTCAATGACTATGCAGCGGTTTCCTAGCATGGATAACATTGTACAAAAGAGAGCAGGAGACATGGGAAATGGCAATAGCTTTGCACCCCCTGAATCCCGCCGTGCAGCATCGTGGAGTGGAAGCCTTAATCATGCTAGCAATCCATCTATAAGGAGTGAAATCAAACCTCTAGGAAGACCGCTTGGTATGTCTCCATTGTCACAAATGCACAATAGTCCGCCATCATCGATGCAGCTTCCAAGTAGTGGCGGCAGTTTAGGAGACGACCTTCAAGAAGTTGAACTCTGAGGTATATGGAATAGTTGTAAATCTATAGAGTTGCATTAAACGGGGGTGTTACAACGGGATCCTTGTGCAAGATTGGTGATGGCACATATGGGAGTTGAGGTTTTTGTTGGAAGTCCCTTTACCACCCCCATTAGAGGAGAGTTACATATGTCTACCTGAAGCCAACGGTTAGTTTGAATGCCCTGATGAAAACACAATGTGGGCAGCCAATTTTCGAAGGGAAAATCGCGTATCGTAATTGCATATACAAGATATACCATTTCTACCTTTCAAGATGTTATTCAGAATTTTGCCAAATCAATAAAGGGTACTGAAAAGGAAAGTCTGAAATTTCTTCTTGTATAAATTTTTTTTTATTCATTTCTTGTTCTTTAAAACCACCGCATCTGCAACCATTTAGTATTACAGTGTAGTGATATTCCTTTTCATCTGTAAGTAAGGTCTTAAATCTGATTCTTTTCAAATGCAAATTTGAACAATATTATTGCTAGCTCATTGTGAAGCTGAATACATTCACCTCCTTTCAGTGTTGATAATATTGTTTGTTCAAAAAATTAAAAAAAAATTTAAAAAAAACACATCTGCAGTGTCCACTTTCCAAGCTTATTTTCTCCCAAACTGAGATGGCATCTCACTAATTGAGAACTGAATACCCAAGTAGCTCTGATTTTGAAAACCAAATTTGCACTTGTTGGCTTTAGAGCTTAGTGGTAGCCATTTGGAAAATACATGCCTCACTAATCCTTGCTGTGAGAACCTACTTACATGACGACATGACATCATTAATTGTACAAACGTCATATTAGCTATCTATATAGAATAGTTAGATAATAGGATTTAAGTTCCTATGGTGAAGTTTTTTATAATTTATGCCCAAAATTGAAAATTCCGTCAACTTTATATTAATTATTAGTTCATGAGCCAGTCCCAACTGCTAACAATCAGTGGAGAGTTTCATTTTTGCCTAATATGTGTATGGATAGTTTCGTTTTAGCCTAATATGTATAGCTCACGTGCTAATAATTAACAGAAAATTGACGAAATTTTTAATTTTGGGCATAAGTCTTGGCAAACTTCACCACCAGGGCTATCTTCCAACTATCCTATCATCACGAGGACTAATAATCTAATTAGGCCAAAATTAGATTTAATTGAATTAATAGTCCCCGTGGTGATAGGATGGTTGGAAGATAAAACTAGGCTTAATTGGATTAATATCCTCATGATTAAACGTCAATTTGTTTGATTCTTATGGATGGCTTATGGCACATTATCGTGTAAATAGATATGATTGTTACAATTATACCACTTACACATAGAGGTGACAAATCAACTCATTGGATTGCTAATGAGTACCCATTAAAACTCATTTAGTTTGATTTCACTTTACACCATCATCACCACTATCAATATCATCTCTATATTATGGTGATATCAAATCAAACAAGTCTTAACAGGTACCCATTAACAACCCAATTGGTTGATTTACCACCTTACACACATCAACATGTAATTAAGAAAAACTATAAAAAGCCAAGCCGTGTTTTAAACATTTAGGTAAATATATATATTTTTTCAGAACGATGGATTTCCATCACACAATATAGAAAGGGAAATTTTGAAAAATACCTAAATCTTGTTCATGATTTTTAAACCCTTTTTTTTATGACAATAATTTATTTTCAAGTGATTGATAGCAGGAGAGGGAGGACACGAACATTAGATTTTAGGTGCAAAAGTAAATATTTGTAATTAACTAAGCTACAAATCTCTTATCCGACTTTATAATTTTAAACATTGAAATATTTCTTGGAGAGTTTGCTAGTTGTATTTGTCGAGCATGTTGTCAAAATCAATAGTTTAAGTAAAAAAACAAGAGCGGAGCCATGAATTTTTTTTTGGGTGGGCTAGCTGAAATTAATACCACAAAATCATATGCTTATTTTTTCTTTTGCTTATAAAAACTATATAATAATGAATATAAAAGAATAATGATAGAATATAAACTATTCTCAAAATCATAATCCTAACCGACAAATTCAAGGACCGTATAAATAATATTACCTACTAAATAAATAAAAGTAAATAAAGAGATTAAGAATGTACCAAAGGTTACATTCATTAAAAAATCGCAATGGAAAGTAAGGAATTGCAGAGATAGGGATTTATTTGTGGACTAAAAAAATTCTTTTTCTTTCTTGGGTAAGAAGCACAGAGCCTAAATCGCATGGAGTAAATGGTCTTTTTCTTTAATGACTAGGATAAAATGGGGGAAGAGAGATATAACTAATTTATTATTAAAAATTATTATTTATTACGTATCCTCAACTTAATATATATGAAATAATAACCTATATTGAAATTGAGTAGGCTATATAGGCTACATGCATTAACATAAGCCATTAAAGTATGAGATTAAACCTAAGAACTCACACTCACAAGTGGAGATATATCACTAGACTGTGATACTAAGTGGCAAGATATGCTTCCATCCATTTTGGGTAATTTTAAAATAGGTCTTGGAGTTTTAATTTTCTCACATTGTACCACGAGATTTTAAAATCATATCATGACACACCCTGACCTAGATCAAGCCAATCCCTGGCCGGATGTGTGTCGACGAGGACGTCGGGCCCTTAAAGGGGGTGGATTGTAACATCCCACATCGCCCAGGGGAGTGGATCCTTTATACCTTATATGTATATTCTCATCTCTAATTAGCACTAGGCTTTTTGGGAGCTTACTAGCTTCGGGTTCCGTCGGAACTCTGAAGTTAAGCAAATTCGCATGAGAGCAATCCCATGATGGGTGACCCACCGAGAAGTTCTTTTGTTTCTCCTAGAAACAAAACCGTGAGGGTGTGACCGGAGCCAAAAGCGGACAATATCGTGCTACGGTAGAGTCGAGCCCGGGATGTGGTGGGGGCCCGGGCCGGGATGTGACATATCATTTACGGCTTCCATCTATCGTTGTATTATACTTTGTTACATTGCTAATTTGGCAAATGTGAGACATTTCCTAGTTGTATAGAAGCCACACTAACACGATTAGGGAAATGGATCCTCTTTGGATCCCTTCCACCAATTCGGACTCTTGAAATTTGATTCAACGTTTAAAGTTATTATAACTTTTAAATGAGATCCCTGTTTTTAGCCGTTATATCAAATTTCAAGGGCCCAAATTTGTGGATTTGGTGGAAAGGATCCACAAAGGATCCCTTTCCCACAATTAGGACCAAACTTTGTCATTAGTTGTTATTTTGGATTTCAAATTAATCATTGAGGGGAGTCGAATCTCCATGATAACTAATTTTGGTCCACATGGTGAAAGTGTGCCTTCCATATCAACTCAAAAATGAGTCCTACGATTCTCAAGTCCTCAATTGGACGAAAACTAAATAGTCAAATTAGAAGACATAAATTAATACAATTTCAAAATTTCTTGGTGCAATATAAGAATTTGAATACATCACGGCCCATTTTGTCACTCAAAACCTAAGGAATGTGAAAGTAGTTGATCCACAAAAAAATCCATTAGTACTAAAATATATTGATATTTCAATATTTCTCTTAACCTGTAGTTGTGAGGTCTCATATTCGGCTATCATAGACAAAGAATTTGGTATCTGTTTACGAGATTCTATTATGTGGATGGCCTGAATTCCCTTCTTGATATTATTATTCTTTTTTATTTATAAGCGAAAGCATTTAAGTTCAAATTTGGCTATATTCATTGTAATTTTTCTTTAATAATGTGGACTACTTAGTAGTACAAAAATTAAGAGTCAATATTGAATTGAAAAACTTTTACTTAAAAAAATTGAATTTAGAAAGTATTATTTTATTTACTTGTCAATCTTATAGATATAAAGTTGAACTACGATTGGATGAACAACGACATAAAATAGAAAAAAGAAAAGAAAAAGGATGTAAAATAAGGCTTCCCAAAAATAAAGACACAAATCCCGTCCCTAAGAGAAGACAAAGATTCATCTCGTATGTAGGAGCACAAAGATCTGTCTCAGCAGAAGGAAATACAGAAACACCATCGCCATGGATTACTCCTACCCACAGACCCGCCAAGAAGATCAATCCCAATACCACCACCAGCAGCAGCAACCCTACGATCCCTCAAGAATCCAATGTTACGACCAATCCTACCAATCCTATTATCCCTACAACCACCCCCAACAATACGACCACCAACAACAATACCAACCATACTACAATCCCACCCCCACCACTACCACCTCCCAGGATTACGCCACCTCCTACGACGCCACCGCCCACCACCATCAATACCATCACGAACCCACATCCATTCATCCTCCCGGGGTCCCAATTCCAGCCGAACAGCCACAAACGGCAGATCCTGACCCCACCCATTTGCGGAATGCGTATTACCCACATGGGGTTGCGGAGGATCAGAAGCAGCAGGTGGATTCGGGTTCTGGTTCGGGCTATGGTGGGTTGAATCCGGCGGCCGTAGCAGCGCTTTCGCAGCTTACTGGGAACATCGAGGCGGCGCAGCGGGCTGCACAACCGCCTGTAAGTGGTTCGCTTTCGTGGTTTTGGTTCAATTTAACATTTTTAATTTATTTTAGGCATTGGGAATTCATGTTCTTATCATAAATGTGATGTCTTTTCTGTTTATCTGGATCAATCTTATGAATTTGATGCTTATAATCTACTTGGAATTTGGACATGTTTTTGCATTTTAATTTATTTGTAGAATGTGAACATTGTTTTAGAACATGTTATGTGTTTTCTATCTTGAATGCCTTCTTTGATTTTGTGAAATTCTTGTAAGTGGATAGTTGAGTGGGTGGGAGTGAATTTATGGAATTTTTTGGCTTTTGATATGGAGTTGGTATCTTGGGAAATTAGTACTATTTAGTTTTAACCGTTAACTAGATAAGCAAAAGGAGTCGAACTTGAGTCACAGAATCCGATTGAAAAAATGCATTTCTTCATCAATTGATCGCACGTCATTTCCTCAAAGACATTAATGTTTTCATCATCAAGATTCTCAAAGACATTAATGGCGTGTGCGTGTTCTCCATGCCAAAGCAATATATAGACAGTGTATTTGTATCAAGATCTCTCTTGACTATAGTAGTTTTCTTTTCTGCTGTGAAATTGCATCTCAGGTTGCTTTTCAGAAAACTATTGTAGCCTTGGTGGTCTTTCTTTGATATTTTGCTTTTAAGAAGGATCTGCAATTGGATTTCTCTCTAATTACAAGTGATTTTAGGCTTTCAGATTATCACACAATGGTTTTATCGTAATTGGTGAATATTAAGTCGATCTAGGATACATTTACCTCAATTAGTATAAACTTTAGATTATTGTCGTTTGTTATGGGACTCCCTTTGATAAACTGTTTACAGGATATTAGCACATCATACATTATGATGGATATAACTTGTATCCAGTGTGCACGTGATGTAATATTTTTGAAGCTTCTGCTGTTATCATTTGGCCTGATGAAGACTTGTTTCCACTCTTTTCCCAATT